AATGCTTGTAAGATTTGCAGATAGGAATTGAAACTAATGGTGGGGACATTAGTATTTAGTGTACGTTTTCCTTCTTTCCTGTTGTAGTATAGTGTGTTTTCTTTTCCCCACATCATTTTTATCCATTCCACTTTCCGTGAAAACAAATGTCTCTCTCTCTCTAAGTGTTATAGTCTCTTAGAAATAATTTACTCTAGTAGTATATCATCAGATAACATCTAATATAAGTAGAAAAACAATAAAAAAATGTAGTGTAGAAACTAGAAACATGGAATTCAGCTAGAAACCGAATTCTGTGGGGTGATGGCTAGACTTCGAAACACGTGGAAGAAAAGAACAAAAGGCTACGAAGTAGATTGCATGCGTGGAGGGAGATGTGCTGTGGTTTTATTTCAAACGGAAAAGGATGTAACCCGAGTTCTATGAAATGTGCCGTGGCTGGTTCTTTGTTATCCTCCAGAGATGAGTATCACCATTAGAATGCTTAATGTTTCACCAGAGACAAGGGCTATGGCAGAGGTCCTGGTTAAGGAAGTAGGAATACCGGTACCTCTGGAGGAAGACGAGAAAAGTGTTCCAAATGAGCCTGATTGAATGGGGTGAATACTTGAAGATTAAAGTTAGAAACCTAGAATCAATGTAAACAACCTGCTGGTGAAAGGTGCTCGAAGTTATAAACAGAATGGGGAAGAAGCTTGGAACCCCTTTCAATATGAGTCTCCTGATTTTCTGCTATAGTTGTGGCAGTTTAGGTCATTGTGAAGAAAATTCTAAGTTTATAACTAGAAATGATCCAGTGGCGGCACAATGGTGATTGATTTATTGTCGGTTTTATATATTTTGGAGGGAAGATTCAAAATACATGAATTTGAACTCCCCCTCTTATATTAAGGTTTTGTTTTTATTGGTTTGTCTTTTATGTATTTTGTCTTCATTTCTTGTCTTGACCTTTTGAAGTATGTGAAAGTAACTTGTTTTACATTGCTTGGCTATGTTTGGCTATCTCGAAGGCTATGTTTGGCTATGTTTGGCTATCTCGAAGGCTATGTTTGGTTTGAAGGAAAAGGTAGGGAAAGGAAAGGATAAGAAGGAAAACATGTACAAACCTTGTATTGGTTTCCCTATCTTTCCCTTCAAACCAAACACAGCCTAAAGTCCAGGGTTAAACTAGAAATGATCATGTCGAGTGTTTTTTAAACACCCACTCATTGTACCTTAAGTATAACCCTAGCAATTGATACAGACTGTTCCACCAATTCGACAGTATAAGAGTGTCAACCTTGATATGGTAAATTTACCAAGTTCATCATTCAGTTAAAAACATTTAAGCTTACATCAGTCTCATATATGTTTAGCTAAGGGGTAATTCATAGAAACACACCATAATTACACATAAAATAATAATGCATTGATTTTTTCAATAATAAATGTTAGTACACATCAGTTTGATAGAGCCAAGGGCATACACTATCTAATAATAACCTTCTTTGAAGACATAAGGTTCACCATCTCATTTAAATTTGAGGCCATTATCTATTTGAACTTGATCTATTTTTGAAGTCTCTGATCATGAATCTCATCAAGGGTATTTTCTCCGTTCTACTGATAAAATAGGTTCATGAATGCAGGCAAGGGAATAAGGTGTTGCTTTTGTGCCTTTTCTAATAAAAGTTCTATAGGCGCAAAGTGTGGCTAGATAGTTTATAAGCCCAGTCTCTTTGGTGGTCAGCTATTGTTTTGCTCAACATTTTTAGAAGGGTCTTATTTGTTGTTTCTACTTGACCATTTCTTTGTCGGTAGTGGGTAGTAAAAGTGACCAATCACACACCATAAAGGCCTAATAAATCCCTTCTAGATTTTTAATCGACAGGCCATTATCTGTCAACATTCTCATGGGTACATTGAAGCAATGGGCAATGTGCTATCTTATGAATTGGAGACTACTATCCTCTTTAATGGTACAACTTCTATTCACTTATGGAATAATCAGTATACTAGAATGAAGCAATACCCTTTAGAAGATGGGTTGATCTTTGCAATCAAGTCTATGCCCCATGTGTAGTAAGGCCAAGGTGTGATTATAAGATGCAATCTTTGGGCTAGCTGGTGAATCTTTGGCACATATAACTAATAGGTATGGAAGTGCTTTACATGTTTTGCACTATTTTCTATCATTCTAAGCTAGTACAACCCTAGATGAAGAATGTTGTCACAAAGCGTAGTTTGACCCTAGTGGGTTGCTAGCTCCTGGGTATGGGCTATTTCCAATATGCTTTCTATTTCACCCCTAGCTAGGCATCATAGGGGTTTTCCACTATAGGATTTGCAATAAAGTATCTCATCCTACAAATAGAAATAGAACCATTTGGCTCTATTTTATAGTCTTTTCCTAAGAACTCTGTCATGAGAAAGTGTTCCAAAGGTCAAGTTTCAAGTATAAGCAAAGATACTTCACTCCAGTCTAGGACATCTATAACTAAACACTCTTTAGCCGTTGAAGTATTCAATACAGTGCTGAAGCTATATTCCCACAATAAGCTTCATGTACCTCATTTAGGATCATTGCACTCTCGGCTTAGCCCAAACGCCGAGCGTGGACTCCACTAGCCATTTTGTAATAGAAGACATTGTTTACTAGTTGGTATCGTAGGAGTACTTTATTGTCCTATTGTGAGGCAGTAGAATTTTTAAGTTTTTGTACCACTGAGCATCTCCAATTGTCTTTTTTGATTTTATTCTATATTTTTACCCAATGAGTCATCCTATCTATTGAGAGTTGGCCTTGAATTTTCACTATAATCATTTGATTTTCATCGCTGGGCTAGACTTTTGAGCCTAGAGTTGCTATGCATGGCGATTTTTGGACCAATTGAGGTGCTGATAAGAGATATCAAGGTCCTCGGTGAGTTTCTAGACTAAAGTTCTATAGGGACCCAATCACCTAGCACTGTGATCTTCTTTGCATCAATGTCTCTTGCAAAGGTCAGTCCTAGCTAGTACCAATGCCTTATACTTGGCCATGTTGTGTGAATAAGGGAATTGAGTTTGAAAGAATAGCTTGTAGTTCTTCTAGAGGATGAAGTAAGTGTAACAGTAGCTCCTACTAATGATTGTGTGCAACTTTCATCACAGGTAATTTTCTGTTCAACGTCCTCAACTACTTCCATAAGAGAGATCGCCTAGGATATCTTCTATGATTGATTTCTAATGGATACTTCATGGGAAAGGCTGCTAAAAGATCTACTACTACCTATCATTTGATATCCCTAGTCACCTAGAGAGGGGATGTTTGTCAAAAAAGCACTTCACTATGTCACTTTTTGTAACAAGGGTAACCCTCTAGCCATGGATATAGTGTCTAAACATTTTTTTCCTGCAAAATTAAGGCCAAACAGTATTGTTCCATTGGGGGAGTAGCTTTTCTCTGCTTGCTTCAAGGTTCTATTGGCATAATAAATTGGGCACTCCTGGCCCTTTGTGCTGTACCGTGTGATCAAGCATCCCACAGACTCTTTATCGATTGCGATATATAGATTGAATATTTGTTTTCTTGAGGTGGGAACATTCTTTAGCTAAGGCCTATTTTATTTTCTCGAAGGACCTATTATGCTCTTTTGTCCAATGCAACATTGCGCTTTTCTACTTTAGCTTCAGTAAGGATGTTGCTACTCATGGTTTTTAAAACCGACCTGGTGATCGAATCGGTCAGGGGTCCGGTTACCAGGTCGAACGGTCCGATCATTCAAACTGAATGCTCGGCCCATTCTGACAAAAAATTCAAAAAAATAAAAAACGGTCAAAACCGTTTGAACGGTTAACCACCCAGTTCAGCGGTTCGCTGACCAAAATCAATAGTTTTGGGAAAAACGGAACTGGTCACCTGACTGATTCCCAGTTTTTCCGGTCTGACCGTCTGGTCTAATTCGGTTTTGAAAACCATGTTGCTACTAGTGCTAGGCCCGGGATGAATGTCCTGAGGTAGAACACTTTACCCAAGAAGGTTTTCAGCCAAGACTCATTTTTGGGCAAGGAAGCTCTAGTATTAGCATCATCAGGGTGGTGGATTCTTGCCTGGTCGACCTTATAACCCAAGAACTTGCTTAATTCTACCGCAAAGGCATACTTAAAAGGATTCAATCTAAAGATGTATTGTTTGTACCTTGTAAAGATTTGTCTAACCACTTCTGTGTATCCTTGGTTACGTGATGAGCTGAGTCACGTATCCTTTTCGTATCATTATCCTTATCCTCAATAGCTTGCAACCAGGTGTAGAGTCCACATCTAGTCTAAGATTGGGTTGCTGCCTTTTGTCAACTGTATAGACTTCCTGGGTTGTGGTCTCTTTATAGTTCTCGTAGTGCACTTGAGACATGCCCACAATTAACAATTTGGAGAAGCTCTCGACAGCTCTAGTTTTCCAACACAGCTTTGTACCAAGGCTTCTTCAAATCTCTGCTCCACATTTCTGAGGTTGGCCATTGTCATTCTTCGTTCCATGATGAACCACTTGCCAACAAACTTTTCTATTAGCTCTTGTTAAGAATCAATGCTTCCTGAGACCAAGTTAACAAATCAAGATTAAGTTGGACTCATAAGAGAATTACCTTCAGATCCCCATCTAAGGTGAAGGGATCTAACAGATTCTCAAACTTGTTGATGCTCTTGTGGACTCTTGGACTGGCCATCGTAGAGAGGCCACTACTATGGAGGATGATAGCCGATTAGATACGATGATGCAATATTGACTTGGTGGTATGATGCGATGAGTGGTTCTCATTGCATCCTAGTCTATTAGTTGCAATGGGTTGTGCTTACGTTGTTGTGTCGTTGTCCTCTTCGTTTACTTAACATTTCTAATTATTACATGATAGCCACGTTCGGTTGTCTAGGAAATCATTCATTTGTCTTAGCCATCAATACTGAAGCCATGATGCACGAAGACACATGGAGGGGTTTTCTGGGACATATACAACATAGCTGGCCTCATTTAAAGGAAAAAGTAACAATGAAAAAGTCAAATTATGAGATAACATTCATCCTTGAACCCCCTAAAACATTTCTGACATGCCAAAAATCCTTGTGAAAGAACAAAAAAAAAAAAAAAATCAAAAAGAAAATAATGGTTACAAAAATTTACATAAGAAAGAGCCTTACAAACAAATGAAATAAAATAATACGATACAGCTGTTTTCATCAGATTACTTTTCTCAATTGCTCCGGTCATCTATGGCCGTGAAGGTCATGGTGGCATTTGTGTTTGTGGTGTTTCCTGATGACAAGAAAGAGCTATTTTGCTTGTCTGAACCAAAGGAACCATAGGTTGATGTATTTTTGTTATTCTGTTTCTGGCCATTTTTAACTTTGAGATCCATTAAATCAGAGATCAGGCCCGGCTTCGTAATAATTTTGTCATCCACATCTATTTCTCCTGTCATCATCTTCACCACGGTTGACATGGATGGCCGGAGTTTTGGCATGTCTTGAGTGCACAGAAGGCCAATCTTCAAGAACTTACAAGCTTCCTCAACATCAAAGTCATCACTCAACGCTGTGTCCACTAGCTGCTCCAGCTCTCTCCTTTCATGCATTACCCACACCTGCAATGGAATAGTCACCAAAATGTTGTCAAAACCATCACTAAACTGGAAATCTTACAACAACAAATTAATAAGCTGAGATAAACAAACCACCATTTTGACTTAATAAGCTATCTCCTTGAATAACGTTTTCCTTAAGAAAATTTACCAGCAAAACCAACTAAAAAGGATGCAGAATGATTTTTAGTCACACGACATTGCACATATTCTTAAGGGCACACTACCATACATTACTTCTTGTTTGCTTGACGTAAATGAACATACACAATAAAATCCATTTCTTGTTATAGAATGTGTCTAGGTAAGAAGGATAAACTTTTCTAATTACTTCTGCAATTTTAATCTTTCACAGAAGTACTAGAACAAGAGAAAAGTAGGAGAGAAGTAAGAGCATAAGAGAGAAAAGCTGAGAGTTAGAGAAAGAATCTTAGGTGAGTTACAAAATAATGTAAAAAAGGACCATACTACCATTGCACCTAAATACATATAATAAATAGCACCTCACGACACTCCCCTCAAGTTGGATTGTATGTAAATACATGCAACTATGGTGCAAGATTGAAATACTATTTGTAAATACATCAGCTGTTGTATATTTTGAACCAAGAAATGGTACACAAATTTTTCCCCTTCCAAGCCATTCATGGATAAGGTGCTTATCAACCCCAATGTGCTTGGTTCTCTCATGTAGAACAAGGTTATGTGCAATGCTAATGGCATCACTGTTATCACAATACAAGGACACTGGGGCCAGAATTCCAGAGATGCAATTCTGTGATGAGATTCTTTAATGGTAAGAGTTCTGCTACCCTTGAGACATTGCTCCATACTTAGCTTTTGAACTTGATTTGGCTACCATTGTCTACTTCTTACTCTTCCATGTGACCAAGTTACCTCCAACAAAGGTACAATACCCAATGGTGAACCTCCTATCATCTATAGAACCTGCCCAGTCAGCATAGTATAACCCTCCACTTTAGAGTGACCATGTTCGATGAAGATAAAACCCTTGCCAGGATATTTCTTCAAGTAGCATTCTCTCTACAGCCCTCAGATGAGATGTTTTGGGTAAATGCATATACTGGCTTAAGACACTACAAATGCAATATCTGCACAGGTCATGGACAAGTATAATTGTCTACCAATGAGTCTCTAATACTGTTAAACATCAAGTAAATGCCTCCCCCTCACAGTCTCCAAGTTTATGATTGTAGTGAGAATGGGCCAAATGGGCCTTAGTGTTCTTTATTTCTTTTAAGTAGTGTTTAAAGTTATGTTTGTTAATTATGGGCCTTCTTTTGTTTTCTTTAATTATTTCTTTAGTGCTGGCCGCCCCATTAAGGGCATCCAAGTAATTGTACTTAATCTTAGAATTAAGTTAATAAAAGTGGTGAAGGGGGGCTAGAGAGAGAGGTTCGAACTCTTCTTTTTTCTCTTCCCTTCTCTTCTTCTTCCACAACCTATTGCTGAAACTTCTTTCTTCTTCTTTCTCTTTCTCTCTTTCTTCTTTTATATTACTGCAGGTGTAATTTTCAACTATGATTTAGATCCATAGGGGTGTCTACTGCTTTACACCCTAGTTTTCTAGTATCCTCTAGTAAGCCAAGGATATACTTCCATTGAAAGATGAAAATTAATTTATCTGACCTTGCAACTTCAAGTCTTCAATACTGAGAAAGTATTTCAGAGGCCAAGATCTTTAACTTCAAATTGTGAGGATAAGAAATCCTTCAACCTCTAAATTTCTTCCTCCTAATTCCCTATAATGACAATTCATCTACATACATAATCAGAATAACAACAAAGCCACTTTTCCTCTTGACAAATAGAGTGTGATCAGCCTAACTTGTGCAAAACTGACCTATTGGACTACCATGTTAAACCTCTCAAACCATGCCTTGGGAGATTGTTTTTGACCATAAAGGGAATGGATCTCTTCTCACATATCCTTCTTCCATTCAAGTAATTCTAAAACCTTTGCAACACTTTTAAGAATAGGAACACTCAAACAAGGTGATGTCCATGGAAATATACACTTTTTGGACAAAGGATCATAACATTCATAACTCTTTTGAGAAGAAGGATAACCCAAGAAGTGGCACAAGGGTCTATCTTACTCGAGCAAGGAGACAGGTTCTTACAAAAGCATTGACACCCAAATACACAAATGGGAATGGAGAACAGTGGGGAAATAAGGCAAAGGGCCTTGAAGTCTTGAACTGCAATTGTCAAGAAGGCATGTGGTTAATCAAATAGGTTGTCCTGAGAACCGCATCAGCCCAAAAGCACTTTGGAACGTTTGTTTGCAATAACAAGCCACAAGCCATCTCCAATAAATGCCTATTCTTGTGCATAACAATACCATTTTGTTGTGGTGTGTGTGGGCAAGAACTTTGATGTAACACACCATTCTGTTGAAGATACCTATTGACATCATTAGTAAATATATTCCTTCGCATTGTTGAAGTGCAAAGTCTAAGTATCAATATGAAACTATGTAAACACCATAGGATGAAAATTTTTCACAATTGAACTTCATCCCTTAACCATAGCATATATATCCAAGTATAGTGTGAATCATCAATAAAACTGATGAAGTATCTATATCCTCCTTTTGTTACTATGGAACATGGGCCCCAAACATCAAAGTGCACAATATGAAATGGAAAATTAGATCTTTTATTAATAGAAGGGTATGAACTTCTACAATGTTTGCTCAATTGACACGTAGGAAACTCCAATGATGACAAAAGCATTGACTTGAACAAATATGGAAACAAAACATGAAGACCATGAGCTTGGTTGCCTGAATTTGCAACATATGAAGTGGAGTAATAAAGGTTTTCTCCAACCATCTGAGAACACACCCAAACTCTTCAAACGGATCATGCACAATACTTAGGGGACCCTCCTTAGGTGCAAAACCCATAGGCTGAACTAGGGGAGTGCTATTTTGATTGGACTGCTACTGATTTTCTTGGCTAGCTATGGAGAAGGCAACATTTGCTGCATTGTACTTCTTGTTGTACTTCCCCTGGAACTTCTTAGGTCTACCAACCAAGTCCCAACAAGTTTCCTTGGTGTGTCTAGACCTCATACAATGGCTGCACCAAAGTTTATCCTTATCATCCTCATTCTTCTTCTGTCTATCACTCTTTCTACTTTCACCCTTAGACAATAAAGCAACCTGCTACCCCTTGGGTGGATTCATGGCTATCCTACTACTTTCCTCGAACTGAACTAAAGCATAAGCCTTTTGAAGGCTTGGTAGTTCCTTACCACTCAAAATTTGGACATGGATAAGCTCATAGATTGGATTCAGACCTGCTAGGAAAGCAAACACCCTCTCCTAAAAAATCAGCTTCCTATAGGCTGAATCATCCTCCTCGTTCATCCAATTAATGGTTTGGTAGTAATCTAATTCTTTCTGCATTGAGGTGAGAGAGTAGTAAGCTGCAAGGGACTTGCCACCTTATTTGTAGGTTGATGGCTCAACTTAATTTGGTAGATACAAGAAAAATGCCTTTGTTCTGAATATGTTGCCTTGGCTTGATCCCAAATTTCTTTGGCTGTTGCATATCACATGAAGTTTTTTCTTAGAGAAGGCTGAATGGTAGAAGTCAGCCAAGACATTATCATGTAGTTTTCTTGCTCCCACTTCTCATGATCCCCATCACCATCAAGTTCCTTTGTCCTTCCAATGAAGCATCCCAAATTTCCCTTTCCTCCAATGCACATTTTCACACCCTTAGACCACTCCAAGTAATTCAACCCATCAAAACAATAAATATGGGAAACTTCTTACTATTATCCATTCCTCCAATGGTAAAAGATCTCCCTCCAAAAGTGGCTGATGAACAGAACCCTCTGAAGAGTGAAGACATTATATAAAGCAACAATCAGTCCACCACTTCCAGAAACTTAGGCTGAGTGATTCTGAGTATTTTCTCTCTTCTATCTCTCCTTATTTTTTTTCTTATTCCTTCAAGAAGCCATTACATCCGTCAACAGCCATAAATTTCTAATCAGAGAAGACCATTCAACATTCTCTAAGGACTAGAATGCTGGTCCTTAGAGAATGTTGAATGGTCTTCTTTGATCAAAAGTTTATGGCTGTTGACAGCTATAATGGCTTCTTTTTTTTTTTATCAGTGAATATTCAGATTTATTAAATCAAGGTCAAAGATAGTACAACTTAGGGAGAGGCATGAGATGCTACCTCCCCTTTAAAGAGGGGAGATGGAAAAAACCATCAACCCTTTAGTTAAAGAACATAACAAAGGAAAAAGAAAATTACAATGAAATCCAATACAATAAAACCCGAGTAGCCCCTTGTTTAGCAAGATAATCAGCCAAGGCATTAGCCGATCT